CCCCCCCCCCCCCCCCCCCCACAGACACACAAACACACGCACACACAAACACACACCCACATCCACACACATAGACACACAAACACACGCACCCATGCATACACACATGCACCCACGGGCGCACACACACACATAACACGAACACCCACACACACACACATACACCTGCGCACACACACCCGCACACACACACATACACCTGCACAAACACCCGCACACAAACACACGCTTGCACACGTACACACACAAGAATGCACATGTAAACACGCACACGCACACAGACACATATAATCGCACTTCCACATACATGCACACACACACTCACGCACATGCACAACTGACAAGCATATATGCACACACAGACTCACATAGAAACACACACACACAAAAACAATCACACACACACACAAAATCACGCACGCACAAACACACACAAACACACACACATACATACACACCCACCCACACACACTCGCACAAACACACACGCATACACACACCCACCCACCCATCCACACACACACACGCACGCACACGCGCACACACGCAGGCACACACACATACACACGCATGCACACACACACAGGCACACACAAGCACACTCACACGCATACATGCACACACACGCAAAAACGCACACTTACACGCATACATGCACACACACACATACTCACATACACACACATACAAAATCAAACTCGCCTACACACGCACACCCACATGCACGCACACACACACACACACGCACACACGGGCACATGTGCACAAGCGTACAAGCATACACACACACACACACACCCACACACACCCAAACCCATACACGCGCACACACACACACCCACACACCCCCACACACACACATACGTACTCGTGCGCACACGCTTACACGGGCATAATTGCACACGCACACACGCACACGTACACACACACACCTACACCCACGCACCCACACCCACACCTACGCACGGACACACAAACCCACGCACATGCACACATGTAGGCGTCCAAACATACACACACGCATCGACGCCTACGCACATGCCCACATGGACACGCACACACATACACACGCACCCACGGCCATGCACACACACACACATGCACACACACACACGCACACGCACACACTCGTTAAGGCGCGAATGTGAACGCGCATGTGTACACGCACGTGCACACGCATTAGCACACACGCATTAGCACACACACACACGCACGCACACACACATACACACTCCCGCATGCACGCACACACACACACGCACGCACGTAGACACGCGTAAACACACACACACTCACATACACGCACATGCACACACACATACACGCGCACATACACACACACAAAATACCTTGCGCGTATTGGGTGGAGGTGAAAGTAGTGTGCTGGTTGACCTATTTGAACTTCTTACCAAACTACATCAATATAATTTTTTCTTATTTATTTGTCATTTTTTTTTTACTATTTCTAATTATCAATATTTTACATACAGACGAAATAGCTTTTGAATATTGGGTGGAGTGAAGATCATGGTTGAACTATGTGAACTTCTTACCGAATGACATTTATATATATATATATATATATATATATATATATATTTCTTATTTATTTCTCATTTTTTTTACTAATTCTAATTATTATTTTTTTACTTTTCTATTTGTGTATGTTAGGTTATGACTACTATTATTATATTGTGATAATTACTTCCTTCATTATTTTTAAGCGTGGTTTAAGGATATTTTTAATAAATAAAGAAAATGTAATAAGTTTTCTTAACTGTAATAAAATATTTTATTTACTATTACCATTTTAACATCACAATAAATGTATATATGTAAAGTAATTAATATTAAGTTAAAAAAATAAAGATTGAAATGAAATTGCCTTAAAAATTTTAATGATTCTTATAAAAAAATCATTAAAAATGTGACACTGAAAAGGAACACACGAAATAGTTTCTAAGGGAATTGACAAATTCGAAGAAAAAGAATAAATAAATAACAAATTTTATAAACATTTGTTTGTTTCTTTGATGGCTTACAAAAATATTAACATTACCTATATACTAAAATGTACTTTTATTTATGTAATTTGTATAATAATAGGTTGATCAGATGCATTTCACTTTCAAAAGGTAAATAAATAGATACTTGATATATTTTTAAATGCAATAAATCCTTTTAATTATTGTAGATCCATAAAATAATTTCAAATCTTATGATTTCATATTTTGAAAATTCTATGAATATTAATTATAAAAGTCATATAAAAAACATTAAAAAGAAACATTACAATGTAATAAAATCTTTTAAAAACTACATAACTTATTTTTACGGGAAAATTTCTTTTAAAATCCGGATGCAATACATTCCATTAAATCTTCTTAACAAATTACCCATTTAATTTTATTAAAATAGTTATTTTTCTCATCAATTATTTCTTATGTAATCTCATCGATTACGAGAATTAATATGATTTTTTTCTAATTTAAAAATATCCTCTCACATAATATTGTTAAACATGACAGTCTCAATAATCGAGATTATACATGAGAATATGAAAGTACAGAGAATAACACAATAACTTCTTTCCATTAGAAATATTGATCTTAAAATAGTAAGAACATGAATGCATGTAATCAAGGCTAAGATTCAAATTTGATTATAAAAACCATTTTTAATAGGATTTATTTTTGGTGTTAATTTTTTTCTTAATAAAGCATGGTATCTTTTCATTTAATTGTTGTGATTTGAAAATCATTTTTAAATTTTTCCTTTTCCATTTTGTACTTTGCTTATGAAGTTATCATTCTTTTTTCAGGTATTGGTGGCTTAGCAGTAGCAATGGTCAAAAGGAGTTTGGTGCCATGATTGAAGAAAAGAATAAGAAGAAGCAATGTTGTGAAGGTGATTCAGAAGAGTTATTGATTAACATATAGTTTATGTTCTTTCCAGAGTCCTAGTCTCAGCTATAAGCAAACCTATAGCATTAAAGCAGAAGCACAAAATCAGTAGAAAATTGACCAAAAATATAGAACCCACCAAAAGGTCACTGCGTTTGCTTCCATATAAGGAAAGTTAAAGATTCATTCTTAGGAATCAATGTTGTTTTTTATCACTACCCAACAACAAAACACACACCAAGATAAAAGAAAAATGCAAAAGCTGACCAAAAGAATTGTATGTTGCTTCTTGCTGAAACAACGGATTGGAATACCCTCAAAAGCTTAGCTTTACCTCTTCAAGCAACCAATCTCGATGCTACAATTACCACAACATTGACACACAGCAAAGGAAGAAACTGAGAGAGAGCTCCAATGGAAAAAGAGGTTGTGGAAAGTCTTTGGAATGGTGATGGAGAATCTCAAATTCAAGCAACTTTGGAGCTTTGCAGATTAAGCAGTAAGCAGAGGCACAAGTTGGAAGAAAGTAGAGTCATGGTTCCTCTTATTTCCATGCTTCATTCTGAAAACTATGAAGCAATAGAAGCTGCTCTGTGTGCTTTGCTCAGTCTTTCCTTTGGCTCTGAGAGGTTAGTTCATCATTTCATTGTAAACTTCTCCCGTTTCTTCTTACAGTCTACAGTATCTGTAATTTTTAACTCCGAGTTCTGTTATCACCCTGATGAATTCTTAAACACTCTGAGTTGAGAGTGTTCAAGAGATCAGAGGGTTAACAAAAATAATGTGTCCATTGCAAAGGGTTAACAATAAAGCATAGAAAACTTAACATTGAATTGGATCAATTAAAAAGTTTGAACTTTTTATCACCCCCATGATTGGATTTCTGGTAGTGGGGCTAAGGAATATGTTCTTGGTAACAAACAAAGCTTGCCATTTGTTAATGATAAATTGGGTCATCATATTTCTTTACCTAAAAGTAATGTGTGTATAAAACACAAAGGATCAAATAAACTCCTTCTGTTGTACGAATTCCTTCAAAAGTTTGCTTAATGGTACACAAAACTTTTCCAAAAATTTTACAGAAACAAGATTCGGATCATCAAATATGGAAGTTTGCCAGTTCTGCTGAGTCTCCTCCATTGTGATAGCCAGAGAGCAGCAGACTTGACTTTGGCAGCCATGCTTACTCTCTCTTCTTGCAAAGCAAATAAGGTAGCAATTGCTTCTTCTGGGGCTGTTCAAATCTTGGTTGGGTTTGTAAACAACAGCAATTATAGCACTCAGTCTCAGCTTGATGCTATTGCTACTCTGCAGAATCTTACAACGTGCAAAGAGATTGTTCCACTGATTGTGTCTTCTGGGGTTATGCTCTCCTTGCTTGAACTGATCCACACCTCAGTAAAATCATCTCCATTGGTTGAGAAAGCAATTGGGTTGCTAGAAAACCTTGTGTCTTCATCAGAGAGTGCATTATGTGAGGTTGCTAGTACTATTGGAGCAATCAGGATACTGGTTGAGACTATAGAAGATGGATCTTCACTGAGCAAAGAGTATGCAGTGTGTATACTTCTCCTTGTATGCCAGAGCTGCAGAGAGAAATATAGAGGGTTGATTTTGACAGAGGGAGTGATGCCAGGGTTGCTTCAGTTGAGTGTGGATGGAACATGGAGAGCCAAATCCATGGCTCGAGAACTGTTGTTGCTTCTGAGGGACTGCTCCAATTATAGCTCAAGATGTAAACAGATTGATCATGAGCTTATAGAAAGGATAATGGATGAAATTGAAGCAGAAGGAGAGGAATTGGCAGATACTACTTTGAGGCTGGTAGAGGAGATGATTGCAAAGCTCCATGCTTAATCTTTTCTTGCGTTACATCACTACTTTTTTTTTTCTTCTTTCTAACTTATTGGCATTAATTATGTTTTTGACATGAACTTCATTGCTGAAAAGATATTAGTAAACCAATGTAGAATTGACAGCATTGTTGTGTACATAAAATTGGTTCGGTTTTCTAGTATGTTTCGTGTTTGGTTTTGATTGTGTCGATTGCTAGGTATTCTTGGATTCTAACTTTACTTGTTCCGGATTGACAGCATTCTTGGTGTTGCTTTTTTATTTGTTAACGACTGACCAACTCAGCAAACAATGTCGTGGGGTTTTGTTTCTCACTTTGGAAAAAGTGAAACAAATAAAGATTTATACATGATCCGTAGAATCATGTGGGGTCTTCACTCTTCGGTCAAGACTTAAATCCCCCAATGAACTAAAGAGGTGACGGAGTGCTTTAAAGGTTGTAGTTTAAACTTTTAATGTAGGGATACTGAAATTCAAGAGTAATTCACAGTGCTGGTATTCTATTGGTTAATTAAGAAATTAAATAACTATAAAACAAAAAGCCAAACTTGTGCGAAAAATTTTCGTACTATCCAACTTTTCAATTTTGAGCCTGCTTGACAATGTCGTAGTTAATTCTTGATGAAAACAATCATTGAAATATTAGTGAATAACATCCATATGCCAATATATTAACTTATATGATAAGCCAATAGACATAATTTAAAAAACAAAAAGAATGTTGAAATTTACTGAACCAAAATTCTATAAATAGTTCTAAAATTGTAAATAATGACAAGTGTTCAAAATTTGCGTGGAACCTAAATTTTTATGTTGAAATTTGCGTGGGTGTTTTTCTTTCTTCTAATGAAGATAACAAAACCAATGAAGTAAAAACTATTAATTTACTGGAGAAGAAGTAGCGTAAAGTAAAAACAGAAGGTGAAGTCTTCATGATTAGCAACAGCAAACTTGAGAACAAAGCGAATTTCAGCTTGACCTTCTGTAAAATCTGTAAGCTATAGCAACAGCTGCCAAAGCTCCAAGTATACCAGTAGCTGTAAGAATATCACGCTTCTGTAGTAAAGGCCAACTACAACTTATATTGCTCCTCTGCCTTTTATAAGCTTCTCCGGTTTTATTATCATTGTCTTTGTTTTGCTCAAAACTTGCACTTTGGCAGCAAGAAACCCCATTAGCACCTTGACAGCATCCTCCCACATTTTCGTTGTTGCTCAGACTGGCCTTGCCATTATCATTTCCATTAGCAAGTTTGTGGTCATCTGCTACCTTGATTTCGGCAACAGGTGGTCCCATTTGGCCCCTGAAACAATGTCACGTCAACAAAGCTAATCATCTTCCATTACAAGATGAAATAAATCACATCAACAACCAAATAATCTCGTTTTCCTTCGGCTATGAATCTAAGTAGTGAAGTTAGATGCAAAAGCGCATATGATTCGATCAGACAGGACCATAACAGGAAAGGAAACAAGCCATATTGATGAATTGTAACTGACGAATCAGAATTAGAATCATAGCAAATAAACACTGAATTAACTATGCAATAAAACACCGATTCGATCCTCCATTGCCCTCTTCAAACTATTCTTTAAAGTAATTAAACTATCTGAATACAAGTATTAAATATCATAAGATTATCTTTGTATAAATGTATAGTATAAGTTTTTTAATCATTTTTATCTTAATGTAATGATTATAATCTAATCTTAATATTATTCTTAATTTTTTTAATATTAGCCACAAACTAGTTAGTTAAGTGGAAGAATAACCTTATTATTTTATGTTCAAGTATGTAGTATCTAGAAACTAACTTAAAGAGCTTTTTAATTATCTAGAAGACTGTTTAACATGATTGTTAGTACATGAAAGATTACTTCTATAAATTTTGACTTCAAGACCGAGGAGAGAAAAAACACTTCATAAATGAATTTTGAGGTTTATTTATTACTAATTATGATTTACCTGTTGACTTATTTATATACGGGACTGAAAACGAGAGATTCGATTAGCTGCAAATTTATTAACAAGATAACTTGTTTTCAATTTGCGTAGAAGAAACAAATTGGAGATTCGGTTTCATTAATAGGATACAACTATGATATATATATATATATATATATATATTTAATCTAATCACCGGAAGCAAGACGACATTGTCCCCAGCCATCCAGAAATTAACATTGATATCTTGATAATTCCACACTCCATAGTCCAATAACCAATAGAAGGGTAGTTTATGAATCTTAAGAATGTATTTTGTTTTATTTTATTTTATACTTTTGTCTTTAAAAGCAAAATGTAACTAATTCATACTACCAATTTCATAGAAGATAGAGAATAAAACAAAAGGTACCAACCTCCAAAGTTTTTGTATGACCTCTCCTTTAGCAATTTGTCGGTCCAACAAGACAGGCACGTCATCCGGAGTAACATAGCCGTACCTGAAATTAATTAAGCGCATCAATGAGACTAGCAACGTTAAAATGCATCCGTTTGTCTATATATTTCATAAACATGTTAACTTCAACCATTTTTTTTAATTTTTTACTGCGAAATTCAATAAAGAAGAATATTTACATAACTCACCTATTATATTAAACCAATTGAATTAGACACATCATATTCAACTAACTGAACTATACTTCCTTAACAATTTCAGTTATCGTTTAAAAAGTATACTTATATGTATTTTAAATACAAAAATCTCTTGAAAATATATAACAATGTTTTAAATGATAAAAAAATTATCGTTTGCCGTACATTCACTCATGATAAGTTAAAGACCATTTTCCATTAAAATTAGAAAATATTATCTCCATTCTATATTTACCGATACATTAAGTTAGTGTGCACTAATTAAAAAAAGCCTTGAATAGATGTAAAATATTGAGACATTTAAAATAAAAGTAATATTACATCCTCCAATTAATGATCTTACGAATTTGCGAAGAGGATTTAGAGTAAATTATTAAACTAAAATACTGTCATTTAATATCTCATTACTTATTATAAATTATTGAGACTTTAAAATAAAAGTGATATATATGAAAGGGAATGAGCGAAACATATAGAAGAGTGAAAACTGACCAATGACCCGTGATCTTTCCATCTGGTCCTGGACAGAATATGATGACATTCCCAGCATACTTATGACCCCCAACATGAGAACAAGCCACAACAGATATCTGATCCTTCAATTCCCTCAGCTGAATTTCCTCGTTGAGCTTATCCAATAGAACTGGCCCACAAACACCGCACCGAACATCACGACTTCCATGAGCACACACAAAAATATGCGAACCCCTCAACACACTCTTCTCTCCACCACTACTCCACTCTTTACCACTCACTATCACATCATCAAAAAAACCATCCACATTTGATTCCTCCAAACCCCTTTCAATCAAACAACAGTCAAACTTTCTCAAAGTTAAAAAACTAGTATTAAAAGGTAAACACGTTTTGGTATGAGTATAATACTCCATATGCAAACAATAACTTTAAGCGCCAAAATGTTTACATGCGCTTCTTAAGAGATGGAAACTAGTTTCCCTTGATATTATGTTTATTGTAAACTTAATACACTGTTTAGTTTCATATAATTATTATTATTAACTAATGTGATGTCAAATAAATTTTTAGCTGTTTAGTTTTACATTAATAGATTATTCTGGATTCAGACTTCTGAATTGAAACAATTATAGAAAATATACCTAGTTTTATCATTGACTTGTTTTGAAAATAAAAAAAAAAATTAGAAGTAATTACATTTACTTTCCCCCACACCATGCTAAATATGACAGTGTTTTGTTCAGTTTAACTTGTTATATTTAAATGTGATTTTAATATAAATATAAATATGCTGTAAAAATATACAAGTATAAATATAAATAACTATAATTATTATTTTATTTCGATATAAAGATATTCCTTTAAAACCAGAAAAAATATGAATTTCTTTCAAAAGAATTTCAAGAAAAATGGGTGCAATTTTGTCATAAACAAATTATTTAAATTTTATTTATCTAAAATATTTCATTTTTCATTTTTAAACTTTAATTTTAACCAGTATTTTCATAACGAATCACCAATTCAAAAAAAAACGAAATGAAGCGGTGGTAGATTTTGGCATACTTGTATTTGATCATGTCAGGGAAAATCAACACGTCACCATCGGCAAAACCGGCCTCCTCACGCGCCTCGCACACCGTGATTTTCGTCTGCCGCACACGCAACAAACAATTTCAAAATCAATCCAAATCACAACGTCAAACAATTCACGATCCGATTCCGAATTGATCAAACTTCAAATCGATGCAGCAAAATAAAAATCAGAAACCAAACCTTGACGACGATGTCGTTTTTGCGAGCTTTCCAGACACTAGCGACGCGTTTGGGAAGGGGATCGGCCTCGGAGGCCTCGATGCGAGGCGGCCAGACGCTATGGTTCTTGTAGCAGAGGAACACGTGGCGGTCGTAGGCGTCGACGGTGCCAGCGAGGTTCTCCTTGTACATCTCCGGGCGAGAGAAGCCGCTCTTGGCATCGTCAACGACAGCAGCGGAAGAAGCCATAAGAGAGAAGTGTCGGTTACAGCGAGAGAAAATGGGAGCGTTACAGATTCTGGCTCCGAGTAATATATAAGCTAATGGCATGGGTGCGCAATGCGCATGCGGAACGTTCACTCTTAAAGACGTACGCAATGAAGAAAATGACTCAAAGCGTGCATTCTTCAATCTGCACCACCCACGCGCTTAGCTTCAAAAAGTCAAAAGTTTATTTTTAAATTAATTTGTAAAAACTCTAAAATTATTTTTTTCAATTAATCCTTTAAAATAAACTCATACAAATAACTTTTTGGCTGAAGGCGCGCGTGGGGGTGATGGATTTGGAAACTACAGAGGCGCGAGAATGGCAGTTAGAAGACTGAAATTTCACGATTTTAGCTCAACTTGCCAGTCAAAGGTAAAAACTTCAGATTTCTTTATGATAAAAAACCCTGAAATTTCTCTCAAAGTTTTTCTTTTTAATCATCAAGAGAATGCTTTCAATAAATAACAATCATGCGTTTACTTGACCTATTCTTTTGCAGAACTAATTAATTAGCAACTGACGCAAT